AGGAGAACTTGTTCTTTTTGATTGTAATCAATAGCGGATGCTCAGGGTGATTTCGCTGGTGACAAGGTTGGCAGACGATCAACAACAGGAATGGTGCAGTTCTTGGGTCGGCATATTTTGAAAGCAACAAGCAATTTGCAAAGCGTGCTTGGCTTGAATGTTTCAGAGGCAGAATTTTATGCCTTGACGCACAGAGCGGCACATGGCCTTGGAATGCAGTCCTACTTCCTGGACATCGGCATCGAGCTAGGTCTTGTGCTCGAAAGCGATTCGAGCAGCGCGAAGAGCTTTGCCTCGCGCCAGGGCTTAGGAAAGCAACGGCACGTGCAAGTCCGCTACTTGTGGCTTCAGCAGTGCGTTGCAAAGCACGAGCTGGTTGTTCGGAAGATCGGCACAGCTTCGAACACTAGCGACATCTTGACGAAGTCTAGTGACAGTAAGACTATCACTAAGCACATGCATGCGATGAGTTTCGAGAAACATGAATTCAGTGAACTTCAAAAGACGATCTTCTGAATAACCTGGCTGCGCTACCAAAGGTACTGCTTCGGACGAATAACGTCCTTAGCAGAGGAGGAGTGTTTGAAATCTGAGCATTGTGGCCCGAGAAAAGTGGCCCGCATCGGTTCGTCGCGGCATATCGTTTGATCAGCGAGTGTATTTTGTAGTGTGTGTGTGTGTGTCTGGAGCCCACAGCCGCAACGGTGGGGCTGGGTCGCGGGTTTTGTTGAAGTAGACCTCTGCGAGTTGAGCCGTCCGTCAAATTTTAGGCTGCGTGACGCGTGTGGTTATAATATGTCATGCGTGCAATGCAAGTGGGAAAGATCCTCTCCGCAACATGTCCATCTCTTGGTTCGTTTGTTGAGTCTCCATTTGGGGTGTTTCCTCACATGATCCTCAACTCTTGTCTTCCTCAATGTTCAGCGTTTGGGTGCTTCAGAAAGTTTCAGCGGCGGAAGCTTCGCAAGGCTAGACGGACTGTGGTTGCACAAGTCCCTCCATATTGTCACAGGTATGGCGAGGCGGCGAGGAGCGAATTCTTGGTCTACTGCAGGTTTTTGTGGATCAAGGTTGGAGGGATCGAAATTTGCGGTCCACTTGAAAGCAAGATGAGGCCGTGAGTACCGCTGATGATGCGAGTCTTACGATAGCAAAGTCAAAAGCGGGTTTCAAGATTGTACGAAGCTCATTTTTCCCCAGAAGCGTTTGCTATGCCACGTAGTTTCTCATTACTGCAGTTTGGGGGCATCTCCCAAGAAATTTTCCATGTTCAAGGTTTTTTTCCCCAGATTCCAGCTGCATTCTTGATCCTTCAGACGTGATTTGTTTCCTGGTCTTGCATGTTTGCCCGCCAGAGGTAAGCATGCTCGGAAGGGCGTACTTCGCCCTTGTGATGGACTTAGCGCAAAGACCAGAGTCACAACTAACCAGCATACAAACGTGAGAATGCGCAGTTCCCTCTAGTTAAATCTGCGAGTGCACATCTGTGCGTTAATCAACAGCGGTTGCACCGTGTTCTTCCTTCATTTTCCAGATTGCAGTTTGCAGAAACAGTTTCGAGGTCATAATTTGCAGTGCCCTTCTTTCGTTTGCGAGCCAATGTGCCTTACCTGCACCCAGAGGGTCAACAAGTTGAAGTTTCCCAATGTCATGCCACATGCGGAGCATTTGCCTTGAACAACCTACGCCTTTTCATAATTTTAATCTATAGATATCTATAGCATTAGGCATTAGTGTTTCAAACTTATCCTAAGTTCCTAGCCTTCTTGGACTTTATATGTGCCGCTTGCATCCGCTTGCCAAGGTCATCCTTTGCTGCCACCGGGGGTTCTTTTGGGAGCCTCATTGCTCCAAGACCAGGAGCGACGGGGGAATGACATGACACAGGATTCAAAGAGGTGGAGTGGTTGTGTGGTATGACAGGATTCAATAGTGTTGGCATGACAGGTGCATCAGACGCCCATGCAACATGTGCTGCGCATCGCTGAATCATGTTCGATACGAGGGAAACTCCTGTTTGTGCAGTCAGTTTCTCTGAACATGGTCCCAGCAAGTGTCAAGGAGCCGGCCGACACATGCAATGCAACGAGCACCACCTCCACAAAAACAGGCACAACCACATCGAGCACATCTTCGACCACAACTCTGAGTACAACTACTGGAACAAGCATCTTGTTTTCTGATAGCGCATGACGGTTGATTGTCCAACATTTGCAAGATGCTTCACAACAAGTCAAAGATGCACAACAGATCAAAACAGCTTTGAGTGAAGTGAATGGATTCTTCTATCTGAAACATTTACTGTATTTGATTTCTTCTATAATAGGACACTGGACTATACATTGAACTACTGTAGGTCCTTTTGGATGATGGGTTTTCCATGTTATATAACGAGGATTGAAGAGCAGTGATGTGTTTTGGAGAATGAGGCATTACCATGACGTACACGAACTATTCCAATGCCACATCCACCACATCGACCAACACCAGCACCACAACCAGCGGAACTTCAAGCACAACAACCAGCAGCGCCACTACGACGAGTAGCAGCACCTTGAGCACCACCAGCTCTACTTCTAGCACAACAAGTTCCACCACCTCCAGCCGAACTCAGACTTCGACGACAAGCACCAGTTCCACCAGCTTGACAACCACGTCAAGCACTCGGACAACAACATCCGTCACCAGTAGTTCCACATCCACTGCTACTCTCACCAGTTCCTCGAGCAGTACGTCCTCCAGGAGCAGCACCTCAAGCAGTGAAACATCCACCAGCACCACTTCGTCAACTTGGACCAGTTCCACATCAGTGTCACAAACAGCCACAAGTACAAGCACCTCATCGGTCACCAACACCACTAGCACGGTCACCACGACTTCAACCACCAGTACTTTCACGACGACCAGCCTTACCACGTCAACGGTGTCAACGTCAAAAACAACATCCACTGTCCCGATCTCAGACTCACAAATGCAAAGGTTTCAAAAGAAATTCATGACACAGGTAGATTGCATACCCCGCCACATAGAAGAATCATGGTTCCTGCTAATTATATACTGTAATTACCTAATTACCTTGAATATAAGAATACATGTCAAGATGCCCAATACTTATTTTTGTATATAGCCGATGAGAATTGGAGCCAAACTTGGGCAGTCTTGAGCGCAAAGGGATTTTGGCGCTTTCAATTCTACATCCATGAGTTGTGGCTGCACTCAGGACTTTACAGATACTTGTAGTGATTTTGATAGGATCCGGCTATTCGACATGAGATCAGGGGGCTATGTGCGTTTTCCCTTTATATATTTACCCCACATGTGGATTCTGGATGACATTTATTTTCCCATATCTATGATCTACGTGGAACGAGTCTGGAATATAGTATCTAAATATTCCTGGGTATGTTGAGATGGGGGTGTTCTAAGTTCTAGGGCAGGACCATGAAAAAACTAGAGGTTTGGCATGGATATTCCACAAGAGGAGATGGACAAGAGGCTGCACCCTTCTCTGGTGTATCAAGAACACTGCAAGAGTCAATACATGTCAATACTATATATATAATAACTTTATTGAATATAATAAGCCTATCATTCATTATGTTAAAGGCCTCTAGTAAACCCACAGTCGCTAACCTTTGAAGCAGTTTGTGCAAAGCACGATTGGTTGAGAAGAGCAACTTTGATGGGCAAGTTGGCGAACAAAGTAGGATGCAAGCATGCAAGGAGAGACTGAAACGTGGAACTTTTTGCTGAGTCCGTGAGGTAAGCCAAACGTCTTCAACAACTTCCACGTTCACATCTTCGACAACAGTGAGCATATCCACCACATCCATGACAACAACAAGTAGCAGCCTCCTCAACTACACCTTTGACAACACAAGCACGACCACAACGGCGACGAATACAACCACTTCCACGACAGGTACAGAAACAACCTCCACACTCTCGAGTGTGACTGAAACTGCCACCAGTCGCACTGCGTCGACCACGACGACTTGGAGCACCAGTAGCACCACCAGTAGCACTACAACCTCTAGCACAAGTTCATCAACCTCTGTCACCGGAACATCAACGTCTCTCACAACTTCTTCAACCACTGCAACATCAACAACTACGACGTCCACAAGTTCCACGTCCACCAGCTCCACATCGAGGTCTTCAACCTCCTCCAGTTTCTGGGATTATGGTTGTACTTATGAGCGGTACTTGGGAGTGGTGCCCAGCCCTTTGCAGTTCTAAATCTTATTTTGTGGAGCAATCTCAACTTCCATTTACTGTGCCATGCTGATTCCATCACCGAAAAGCCTCCCAAAACCATCACTTTTCTGGCGTGTTTGTTTTCATGGTCCAGCGCTTCCGGAGCAAGCAGCGAAAGTTATCGAAGATGTTCAATAGTTATTTACTGTATATAACAGTTCTTTCAGCCATAAAATCAAGTAAGGTGGTGCGTGATTCACCAAACATATTTGCAGCAATGGCTTGCAGATCATTCGGTGTTCATCGAATCTCTCTCGTGCATTTTTTGACAAGTAAAATGTACCACTGAAGAAACTCGGTGCTATGGACATCTTAAATTGTCTACCTACTTTATTTTGAGAGAATGCAGTGTCTTTATCATATCGCCACTCACCGGTTTAAAACTTGCAATTTAAGCATGCTTGTGAGACCGCACATCCAACCAGCGAAACTGCATGCGTGCTGCTGCAAACACTATGCCTAAGAACCCTTGGTGGACATCTATTGAATCCTCACGTCAGGTCATTGATTGGCCCTGTGCAAGGCCAAGGAGTGTGCCTGTGTGAAGCTGAGGTAGTTCCAGCAGCTCCACCTCCACCAGCTCCACGACAACAACAACCACCTTGAAATTCTGCGACACCCGCAGCTTGCCCGAGTTACGCGTGCATGTGCACCTGGCAGGTGCTGCGCATTGCTGTGCATTGCGAGTAGTGTGGGGGCGGTTGCTGAAAATGATCCAAAGGCTGCACACTCTTGAACTCAGGAGATATTTGGCCTGGTGTTCCGCTCTTTACTGGAAGTTCCTGCAGTTCTGTAGGCACGGACAGTGTCAGAATTTGATGCGTGAACGATGTCCCATGAAATTCACAACAGGAATACGCAACAATATATCCAATGCAGTATCGAATGTAATTAGTGTATGCATGTAATAATTATGCTAATGGTAATTGTTTGTGTTATGTAATGTGCAGGTGCATTGTCATTGTATGTCATGGTGTTATTCTTTTTTTGGTGGTGATGTCTTCTACATGTTTCACTTGCGAGTCTGCAGGAAAGGGAGGCTTTTGCTCGTTGACGTTGGTGGATCTGTGGGCTGAAAGCATCCAGGAGTGTTACGCCCCAGGCCTGGCGGAGTTCTTTTGCCCAATGGACAACGTGCCTCGGAAATTTGAACTTGGAAACAGCATAATGTGGTCCGCAATTGTCCGCACAAAACAGTTAACACCATATATATATATATATAGTGGCAGTGGCAAATACCAGGACCAGCGTATTCCGACGGAGACCGATACACACAAGCACGCCTGTGCGTCCCTGTACAACATGTCTACAAATTTCAAGTAAATCATGAGGTTGACGCTTGGTTGGCTTGTGCTGTGCTTTATCACAGGAAAGCATTGAGAACCCAGCTTATATATATATATAGATTTGAGATGTGCAATCTGTCGAGGGCCAACCCTGTTTGGTCACGAGACACAGGCAGACCCTGCACCCTTCCGGTTCAGCTATCTTGGCAAGGCAGGTCGAATGGAAGGCCTTGGCATTACCAAGGACATTACGCTAATGCCGATGTCCAACAATTTGCTGTGCAAAGCAACTCCGACAGCAAGTGACAGCTTGGCCTGGGCGGAAGTGTCAGGTCATCAGGTCATGCTTCTCTCATCATGGGTCGGGCTTGTGTATGAGATCAGTTGTCACACAACCCATCACAATTCCAAAATCCCGAATGAACAGTCTGAGTCCAAGTTGCAAGACAGCCCGCCGCGGATCACTTGACGTTCTCCAGGTTTGCAGCGTTGGGACCTTCATGGATTCAGATCCTCAATTTGGCGTCGTGACCGGCAAGATCCATTTTGGTCCGAACCAAAAAGGCGAAATCTGACTCTGTCAGTCCAGTGGGTCATGGGAGGAAGTTTTGACCATTTGGGACCTGGGAACTATGGCAGATCTTGTCAGTCCTCATGAGGTGTTAAATATTAGTTCTTTTTCACCGTCAAGTCGATTTTTAGGAGTTGGGAAGCACCATACACGAGCAAGCCTCAGCTCTCGGCCAAAAAGCCTCCTATCCACACATCAGAAGTCCGGCTATTGCCAATCTTTTGCTTTGCAAATTGTTTTTCTCACCCATCCACTTGTTTGTCCACCTCCGGCCAGATGGCTTTGTTGACGAGAGCCTCTTGTGGGGCTATCGTCTCAGTTTCATTGACGACTGTGGAGCAGACTTGGGCGAAATTGGCAAGGTGCCGTCAGGGCCGGAACTGACGATGTTGAGCCAACAGACCCTGAGCCATTGGGTTATTGAAACGTCACGTCTTCTTGTTTATATATTGTATTATATATATATTATATATATAATTATTAACCATAATTACGGTGAATTATTGGTGATCTTCGGGGGATCTCCCAACTATTGCAAACCCATGCCACCTAAGTGTCATCAAACACTCCAGTTTCGTCCGAGACACCACACAAAGACAATGTATGGTAGATCGCGGTTTGTCTTTGACATGGGTCAGGTATGGTCATGGTCAGGATTAAAATTAAGGTCATTTCATGGACGCTGCAATTGGACCCCTGAAAGATAGGTTTCCCCGGCCCTACATACCCTTGTTTTCGGTGTTCTTGTTAGTCTGCAATGGTCGAGTCCAGCAACCTTCAGTCATGTTCAACCTGTTTAAAATGTTTATATAACTCTTGTTCAGGCCGGCATGGAAGATCGGGTAACCGAGACAGCTCGCAGACAGCATGAGGAACTCGTCGAATTACCAAGTTAGATGTGAGGTACTAAGACGTTGTTGAAGTCTGGAACATGCTTGCATGTGATGAAACAAGGCAGCTCTTTCTGTGGGTCGTAAGCAGCATATTGGGTCAACGGGGGGATTTGCCCCGACGGCCAGAAAACGTCCCCGACCAGTGAACAGGGCTTTCGGGGGGGGGGTGCGGGGGGACTGGGGGCACAGTTTCGTTTGTGTTACTCAGTTACTCGTTGCGCTTTCTGGACCGATGTCGTCACGCAACGAGAGCACGTTGAAGGCCTCGCAGCTTTGTGGTTCAGCCAACATCCAGGGTTGGACTCAATGCTACAGAGAGGGTGTGCAAGACACTTGTCCGCCAGCTCAAAAGTACAGCGAGCTGTCATGGCTCAATCGGGAAGAGGACTGAAGTCGTGCAAAGCCTTCCTTGAGTTGCAGATCATCGACCCGGTGGGAGGACGGGAAAGCTTCCAGGATTTGACCGAGCGGTCTTTGAATGGTCTTCAAAATGCACTCAACTCACCGTCTTGGAGTTGAGTGTCCCGAAGCCCCAAAAAAATGTAAAGCGCATGGTTTTCTGACCCTCTGCATGTTGCAGTCGGGGCAAGCCCCCCCGTTTACATCCGTTGACCCAACAGGCTGCAGTCTTTGCCACCAAAAAACCAGTGCAGTGACATGGACACCGCCGAAAGATGGGCGGAGGATCCCTCGCCCACACTGGACGCACCTCTCGCCCTCTGTGCGGGCAGATGGTGATAATGACCATCAGGGCATATCAGGAGCGCCGGGTCCAGAAGATAGCACACATCCCATGTTTGCCCCACGCTCTCACCTTCCGTGCCATTTTCTGGGATCTACGACTGTCGTTTGGGCTCCATATTTGTTTGTGGGCCGGTCTGGGGCCCACCTTCATGATGTGTCGTTCTCGCGCCACAGGTGGCGAAGAGTGAAGATTTTCAGGCGATTTGCTGCGATCCTGAGCGCTACAGTGGCGCAGCCGCATTGGGACCATGGGCTCGATGCTTTGGATACCATAGTTCAGAACACTCAAGGCCAGTTCCAGCATAGATATTTGCACCGTGTTGCCTTTGAGGTTTCCACTTGGAGTCAGTCCCTGCCAGCCTCTGAAAGACGAGCAGGAAGAAACAAGAGACAGATCTGTTTGAGATGTGGAAAGAGACGCTCTGCGATTCACTGTTTCAAGATGGCCTCTGAAAAGATGTGGCCCAGAAACCAAAACCCTTTCCGCCACCTTAGGTGCCTCCAGGTGCTACCGCCATCATGATCGCTCCTTACAAGGCATTGAAATGGTTTTGTCGAAAAGGGTTCGACACCAAAGACATTATGTAATCGCCGAATTTGTTCGTTGTAATTTTCCAAACTGCAGCTGAAGGGCACAGATGTCAGGATGGCGCACTCTGTTACTTCTTGTGTTATTTGTGCCCTGTGGCAAGGGCTTGTTTACAAACATTCTCAAAGACTCCTCGTGGAACAATGTTGTTTTTCTTCTTCTGATGGTGCACTGCACGGCTGCAAGCGTGTTAGCTCCACAGGGCAACTGGCGCTTGCTGGGCGGTGTTTGGGCCTTACAGCCTATAGCAACTCCACCACGCAGAAAATAGACCGAAACAAGAGAAGACATCACAAGAGAGAGTGTGTTATCCTGTGCATACGGTAGATGGAACAAAGAAATCCTGCGCCACCTGGCGGGAAATGGATTATAGAAAGTTTCTTTCATTTTTTACATCATAGTCATAGTTGAAAGATGTTTGGATCAGGTTGGAATCCATCATGCCAATGTTGCAATTGGTTTTCGCAGTCTTCACAACTGTAAGGTCAACGTCAGTGTGGTGGACTATTACATCTCGTCTACAACCACGACGAGCCTCACCCAGCCACTTGATAAAGATAAAGATACTCTCTTGTGATGCATATGTTTTCATGTTTCAGACTTTCCACGTAAAACCTCGTATACACATATAAAAGTGGTAAGTCGGTAAGTCGTTGGCAGCCAGGACCTCCTCGACTTCATCCACAACGTCAACATCAAACAGCACGACGGAAACACTCACGTCAGCAACCTTATCAACATCCAGTAGCACATCAAGCTCCACAAGGTCAGGGGTTGCCAAGTCAGGAAGAGTGTGAAATCGAGGAAGATGTCGGCAGAGACATCTTCAGAGAGCAACAGTTCAATGTCTGAATCAGGGGATATCAGGGGAGAACATCTTCAAGTTGACAAGTACAAAAGTCATAGTATATATAGTAATATATATATATAGGTAGTGTATATATATATATATGTGTGTGTGTGTGTGTGTCCTACATTGGTTGGTCCCAGCAAGTAGATGGCACCTCTCAACGTTTCTTAGAATCTGTCTAAACCTCGTGAGTTTAGTGCCACCTACTCTGAAGTCACACTCCATGTCCGGGTCGTGCCGCGTATGTTGCACAGGAGCAGCAGCATCACTTCGACATGGACGCAGCTTTGGACTCAAACCACCACTGTCCTCGTCACAGCCTCAGTGGATTTGGTGGATGGAGCGGTGGTATTTCAATCATGTTTTGCCGGTCCTGGAGATTCCTGGAGGAGGTATAGGATACTGTATATAGTCATATCCAACAAACATGGGGGAAACAGTGATTTTTAGGAATGTATCCTGTATCCATACTCATTATTCGCTCCGGGAAGGTGAGTGATATATTCTTAGATAAAGACTAAAGATGTGGATAAATTTAGTGTCCGATGCGGGATCCAATATATATAATATAACATATATGTATGTGATATAGTATATATATATATGATTGTTTAGTTCGAGCATTGAACATGACTCTCCGTGACTCCGTGCATCTTGAGTCCACCACTACCACATCGACGCCAAGTACCAAAACCAGTTCCGCTCGACGGGCGGCCGTTGTCCCAATCTCAGACAACCGAGCTGGACCGTGAAAAGTTGGGTGTTGTTTTGGTGCCGTTCACCGTCCAACTTGCTGTTTTGACATCTACACACTCAGGATCAGTCAGGTCATCCAATGCCCTAGAATGAGACATGTGGTGAACGAGTCATGACGATCGTGACCGAAACACTACGTCGGTTGTTTCGTGTGTTTGCGCAGCCAAGGATTGGCTGGTACCTGTGTGCCTGCTAGCTGCTTCCAGCATCTGAAGGTGCAATCAGTGTGTAATCTCCCCAAAAGTTGAGGCGGCCTCTACGGAGCGCAGCGCTGATGAAAGCGGTTTGTCCTTTTTGGGGTATTATCAATCATCCATCTCTGAAAGAATCGTGTGTATGGCCTTTGGTGGGAGAAGCGGATAGACAATGTTTCAATATCCGCCTGTTTCACGTCAAGCAGATCAGAGACCACGTCAAGCGTGATGCCAAAAGGGCAGCCAATGCGGTCACAATCACATAGCGTGAACCGAGAGGGATGCCTCGAATCACTGGCATGCCTGGCCATGCTTGGTGAATTTAGATGAGTTTAATTAGAATCTAAATGATGATGGCGACCAAGATGGCTTGTCACAATGAAAGGATTTTTGGGCATGGCATGGCATGGCTTGGTTCTAAGATGCACCGATTCATGATGTTATACAAGTGCTCCGAAATAGCTTTTAGCAAAACGCGAGAACAAGAAACCGAGAAAACGAGCAAACCTAGGCTTGAACACATGGCGAGTTTTGCGTTTTCGCTATTCCTGCGGTGTTCACCGTGTTCGTTGCTTTCTTTAATAGCCGATTGGTCTACGGTGACAGAAGTCTGCAAGTTAAAGCAAATTTAACTACGGAATCTTGCAACTACAAAATGTTCGCCGCTCTTGGCACGGATGCTGCCGTTGAGTCGCCACAGGGGTGAATGTGATACAGATATCGATCTCAGGAGGTAGTAGAGCATTTCGATCATTGCAGCCTGGGCACCAGCACGACGATTGTTCCATTTATGAGGAGCGGAAGCATGCCTTTTCATTGAAGCGAACGAACAGATCCTCCGAAAATGGACCCTAACCTAAGCCAAGCAAACTGCAATAAACTGCGCGTTTTGCATTACAGTAAGTGTGAGCGCTCTCTGCTATCATTGGGCTGATACTACGGAACGAAGTGATTGCACCTCAGGACCTTCGACGCAGCCGGCTTTGTTCTTTTGGATCATCAAGTGCTCTTTGCAGTTTTCTCCCGCTGGTGTGCCTGGAGGTCGGCCAAGACAAAAATGTCCACACAATCATAAGTCATAAGTATCCTATCCTAGTATCCTTCCTCATTTGCGGTGTTCGGCGTGTTTGTGCTTTCGTGGTTTTCGTGCCAAATTCGTTCACATCCACTTAGCACACGATACGATCTGTGACCTTCGGAGGCAGTACCAGGAATGCAGAAGCAACAGCTCATTGCTGAATTGCTTGGCGAACATGTGATCCAAATTTTTCTCATTGTCCCTTCTAAGGTTGACTGTCCGTTTCGTCGCTCAAGTCTCAAGGGTGGCTTTTTTATGGACTGGGCCCCAAAGGTCTTGTCTTTCCTGATTTCCGGCACCCAAAGCAATTGGTGGGGGCTCGCTTGCCCGTCGCATTGCTTTGCGTCTGGCTTGGCATCTCTCTCTGCCAGCTTCCTCATTGGCTTCCTGCTCGGCATTCTTTTGACTGCCTCTTTTTGCCTTTGGGGCCTTGGATTTCTGCCCGCCTCGGTGCCTTCTCCTGGGCACCTTTCTGCTGGCCAGCCGCCAGCGCCTGATCGAGTTCGAGCCTACTTGAATGAGCAATCGCTCACCACCTTCCCAAGGAGAAGACGAGGAACTTTCTCTTTCCC